ATGTCTTTGAATTTAAGTTTTTTTTATTTTATACCCGGACACAATTTGCGTCAATTGCAACCACCAGGTTTTCTTACAAGGGATTTCATTTTTCGAAGGCCCGGTTCTCCATTTTCCTGCTTATAGGTTTGATGACCCCAATTTTTGCATTTTATTTCCTCTTTGCCTTTCGTGATATCTGTGTCATGCTTTGGTATGGTCAGTCCGAGTTCCCAGGTATTGGAAGTCAGCGACACACTTAAACGGTTTGCCATGCGGTGTGTTCGATTCCGCTTCTGTCTGGTTTTACGCATTCGGACGCGGTATTGTTGACATGTAAACAACAGCAGGATCAGTAGCAGAATTTGCCTTATGCAGTAACGATGTTGTTGTTGTTGTTTTTTTACATATAATCTATCAAAGTTTAGAGATCGGGATGACTTTTATCGAGATTTTTTTAAAACTAATTGTGTGAGGAAATATAAATCCTGATTCTTAGGGATTAGATTTAACAACACTTACAGTATATTCCGATGAAATGCTTAAATGGGTCGGTGCTTTTTAAAACGTCCTTCCCACAAGACCTGCTGGGATTTCGAGAGAAAAAAAAATCTGTTTCGCCGTCAGCAGCGGGGACGTGTGATTTGGTATTTCCATAAAGTGCTTTCAGAGTTTTCATTCATTCTCTCTCTCTCTCTCTCTCTCTCTCTCTCTCTCTCTCTCTCTCTCTCTCTCTCTCTCTCTCTCTCTCTCTCTTCTCTCTTTCTCTCTCTATCTTTCTCTCTCTTTCTCTCTCTCTTCTCTCTCTATCTTTCTACCTCTCTCTCTCTCTCTCTCTTCTCTCTCTTTCTCTCTCTCTCTCTCTCTCTCTCTCTCTCTCTCTCTCTCTCTCTCTCTCTCTCTCTCTCTCTCTCTCTCTGTGTGTGTGTATGTGTGTGTGTGTGTGGGCGGGTGTGTGTGTGTGTGTGGGTGTGCGTGTGTGTGTGTGTGTGGGCGGGTGTATGTGTGTGTGTGGGCGGGTGTATGTGTGTGTGGGTGTGTGTGTGCGTGTGTGTGTATGTGTGTGTGTGGGCGGGTGTATGCGTGTGTGTGTGTGTGGGTGTGGGTGTGCGTGTGTGTGCGTGTGTTGAAAGGGAAAGAAACATGACTTGCAAATCGCTCCCAACGAAATATCACGAAATTATTTAAAGTTGAATTATTACGATCACATTGTTGTTTTCGACCATAGTACGTTGTCAAGGAAATCAGTATTTTCATTCGCACGTTCGGTGATGATGAATATATTGAATGGATTCATTATTATTAATGTTCTCGCTTTTTTGTTTTTTATTAATGTTGCCATTATTGGAAGCAATATTTGTATCATCATTGTTACTGTCATTCTTAACATTATCGTTGTTGTTATTATTATTATTATTGTTGTTTTGTTGTTGTTGTTATCATTATTACTATTGTTTTTGTTACCTTTATTAATAATATTGTTATTGTTATCAATATTATTATTATTATTATTGTTGTTGTTATTATCATTATTATTATTATTATTATTATTATTATTATTATCATCATCATCGTTATTAATATTATCACAATCTTTATTATTACTATCATCATCACCATCATCATCATCATCATCATCATCGTCATCATCATCATTATCACTATTTTAAACAACTGGATTCCCTCACGCTAGATATAAATATTTTCACTTTAGTAATTCTGTTTTGTGGACAAAGAGGTGATAACTATCCAGTGGACTTTAGGAATTTAGGTCGGATATTTTCACATCAAAGCGCTCGTCTCTTTAATCTTTAGCAAATATTTTTATGAACCTTTAAAACGTATCATTGTATATTAACCAATATTTTCTGGTTTGTTCGCTTTAGTTTTTGGCCCTTCAAATTCGCCGAAAAGGAAAAAAAAGTACTTTAAAAAACTGTAACTCCTTTATATATAGGAAATCAGTGTCAGAGACGCAAACAAAAGCAGGACCCCAAAATCTGATAACCCATTTCCTTCTCATGTGATCCAAAAGGAAATGGTTTGGGCCACTGGACACCCGCGGGAAGGAGCGAGAATCAACGAGAATCAACGAGAACGAACAGCACTCCGACACTCTCTCGACTTGATGATATATTTCATGAAATTGGAGGAAAACTAAAAGGAAAAAAAAGAGAGAGTGAAATCTTATTCGTGTCTTTGTAAATAGATGGACATTTTGCAAAGGAAAAGGGATTTAAAAGATGGGAGAATTTAAAAGCACGCAGTGACGCTAACAAACGCCATCCGAACTGGACTTTAATTGACGCATCCTGATAAATTGTCAAAGGTGTCGACGACTATACTTTTCTTCTTCATTTTACTTTGATTTTGCAAATACAAGTGTTCAATTATTTACCGAGAAGATTAAAGGGGCGAAGAGTGGTACGAATTGATACATACGAATACGCAAGCAACGCCGATTTTCTGCCTAAAGGAATTTCTTCACTTCTTTAAACCAGAGAGAGAAGGAAGAGGAAAAGACCAGAAAGAAGGAAGGAAGGAAGGAAGTCACAGCACCTCGTCATGGTAAGTGCCACTTAAGTTAATTGATTCATTATTTTATTTTAAGACCAATTTCTTTTAATCTCGTATCCCTTGGTGCAAAAATCGCTTTGTGTTTCTGTTTCTCGGGACATGATTTTCGTTAGTCATCCGTCTCTTATTCTTATGTGTATATATGTACGTGTGTGTGTGTGTTTATATGTTTGTGTGTGTGTGTGTGTGTGTGTGTGAGTGTGTGTGTTATGTGTGCGTGTGTGTGTGTTATGTGTGTGTGTGTGTTGTGTGTGTGTGTGTTATGTGTGTGTGTTTGTGTGTGTGTGTGTTTGTATGTGTGTGTGTATGTATATATACATATATCTACATAGACGTTTCTGCGTGTGTGTTCATGTTTGTAAACACAACCGCGTAGACAAGGGGTTTCACTCATGTTATTGTTGTTTTCGTCCCTTGTTGTCGCTGCGGGAGTGGGCGTTGTCATATTTCGAATGCTTTTGTCACTCATTTGTCATACTATATGTGGGGGTGTGAGGGGGGTGCGAAAGGGAAAGGGAAGGGAAGGAGAGGGAAGAGAAAGGAAGGGGAAGGGAAGAGCAAGAGATTGGGGGTAGGAGAATGGAGAGGTGAGGGGGGGGGGGGGAGTGGAAGACGAAGGAGGAAGAGAGGGAATGGAAAAGAAGAGGATGGTTAATGAAGATGGGGGAGTGGGGAGAGAAAGAAGGCAAGGAGGGGATATAGGGAAAGAGAGAGAGAAAAAGGGAAAGAGGAGAGGCAGGAGAGGGGAATTACATGGGAGGAGAAGAGAAGAACAGGTAGGAAAGGGATAAAGATTAATGAAGAGTACAAAAACACTCACGCACTAGACATGTGTTCGTATGCGTACATGTAATAAATACGTAAGTTTACATATAGAAAGGGAGAGAAAGAGAGAGAGAGAGAGAAAGAAAAGGGAAGAGAGAAAGAGAGAGAGAGAAAGAGAGATAGGGGGGGGAGAGAAAAAGAGAGAGAGAGAAAGAGAAAAAAGAAAGAGAGAGAGAGAGACAGAGAAAGAGAGAGAGAGAGAGAAAGAGAAAAAGAAAAAGAGAGAGAGAGAGAAAACTATACAAAAAAGAGAAATAAAGAGAAAAAGAAAGAAATCAAACTACAGGAAGAGAGAGAGATTTAATAATGGGCAAATCTAGTCATTAAACTCACGAACACGTAGAAGGTAACAATTATATGTACCTTTCGCCCCTTCAAGACTCGCCCACTGCCAAGGTCGCTCCCATAACGTAAATAACACAAGGGAACAGACGAGGGCGACGGAGAGTAAGGGCGTGAAGAAAGAGAGCTGGGGGGGGGGGGGGGCAGAGGGAGAGAGAGAGGGCGAGGGGAGGAGGGCAGTGGGAGAGAGAGGGGGGGAGGGGAGGAGGGCAGTGGGAGAGAGAGAGGGGGAGGGGAGAGTGAAAGAGGTTAAGAGAGAGAGGAGTGAGAGTGAGAAAGGTAGATAGATTGAGAGAGGGAGAGGGAGAGAGAAAGAAAGAAGGAGAGATAGAGGGGGAGGGGAGGAAGAGAAAGCTAGTGAAATGAAAAAAAAAAAAACAGTTCTCAAGATAAAAGTGATGTTTTATCTATCCTTATTTCCTCTTCCCCCCTTCCCCCCTCTATCTCCCCCTCCCCACACAACTCCATTCTCTTTCCTTTCGTAGCCCTGGCAACCGACTGGCATTTCCTCCTCCTCCTCCTCCTTCCTCCTCTCCTCCGTCTCTGCTTTTCCCCGGATTGTCTGTATAAAGCAGAAGTGTCAGTTTGTCCCCAATCCCCCGTTGGTATCCGGATTCTCCTCTACGAACGCTTACACGAACGCGGACACGCCTGTCTGTTCATCACTATGCATGCCTGGTCATCCATCCGTCTTTCAAATTCCGTTTTTCCCCATTTTTCGGTGTCAAAAAAGGGAGATCTATGTTCGTCATATGTCCGATTATCTGTTTATTTGTCTGTTACATGTCAGCTTTTTAATCGAACTTGATAGACTAAAGCTGCTTCGTGTACATCGTGTACGTGTAGGCCTATATTATTTCGTAAAAAAATAAAAAAATAAAAAAATAAAAAAGACAAGGAAACTAGAATTGAAAGAGAACGTAGTATTTACGACAATCGAAAGAGAAAGATAAATAAAGGCGAGAAACGGTTTGAATATTGGCGCCCATAACAACGTCAGTTCTCAGCAGGTGAGAAGGGGAGCCAATTTTAGCCTCGTGTTCCCTTCCCCTTGACTTTCAGAGCGACAGTTAGCTCAAGGTAAAAATAAGAGGGATTTCACTAAGACTGCGGCTTGGGGAAATTAGCGAAGGCGGCATAAGATCTTAGACTACGTTAAATATTAGATAGTCTTTGGTGATGTAGTATTAATTAATGCTCTTATCTCTTGTTTGTAGTATGTTAGCTTAATAAAGGTTAAGGCGACAAGTTGATGTATTTAAATCCAATAAGAATGAGAATGAAAGAGAATATAGCGCAAGAAATCACATGATAAATAATACTTGAAACAGAGTTGCTTCTGTCTCCTCAGGTTGCCGTTGGCAACAGAGCCGTCAACAGTAAAAGAAAAAAAAAAGCACAGTTTCAAAAAGAAAATGAAAGTAATATCCTGATTTCGAGTGACATTTGTGGCAAATTAGGCGTGGAGGAAATGATTATTTTTTCATCGTAGGCCTATTACGTCAGCGGAGAGAGAGAGAGAGAGAGAAAATCCGAAAGAAAACGATTAATAGTATATAAAAATAGAAAGGTCAAATAGGACTAGAATTAAAAACAGATGAACAAATTGAAGAATACGATGAATGAAAAATTGGATAAAAGAGAGAGGAAAAAAAACGTCAACGGAGAGAGAGAGAGAGAGAATACGAGGTCCGAAAGAAAATGATTAATAATAGATGAAAATAGAAAAGGTCAAATAGGATTAAAATTAAAAATAGATGAACAAATTGAAGAATACGATGAATGAAAACTTGGATAATGAAAAAAAGAGAGAGAAAAAAAAAAAAAACGAAAAGAGAAAAAAGAAAAATGGGTGAGCTTGGGTACTCCTAAAATGCCGTTCTGGAGAGTTGCGTAATCGTGCGTAATTATTTGCCGGCGTTCGATATCCAGCAGCACATTTTTCCGGCTTAGGGTTCCAGTTTCTTTCTCTTCCAGTAGCGGAAGAGACGGTGTTTTACGGCTGCTGGGAGACAATCAAGGCTGATTCTGGACGTTTCTGCCGTGCGATTGCTGTGTGATTGCCGTGCGACTTCCGTGCGATTGCTGTGAGACTTCCGTGCGACTGCCGTGCGACTGCCATGAGACTTCCGTGAGATTTCCGTGCGACTGCCGTGAGACTTCCGTGCGTCTTGCGTGTGACTTCCGTGCGACTGCCGTGCGACTTCCGTGAGACTTCCGTGCGACTGCCGTGCGATTGCCATGAGACTTCCGTGCGACTGCCGTGCGACTGCCATGAGACTTCCGTGCGACTGCCGTGCGACTTCCGTGCTTCTGCCGTGCGACTTCCGTGAGATTTCCGTGCGACTGCCGTGCGACTGCCGTGAGACTTCCGTGCGTCTTCTGTGTGACTTCCGTGCGACTTCCGTGCGACTGTCATGCGACTGCCGTGCGACTCTCTCCCACATTCGGCGGGAGACAAAACGCGACCGAAATCGTGGCCTGGCGTTCGGTCGCTCTGCAAAGTGAAGGACAGATTTTTATTTTTGCAAGACAGCTGCACCCCCCCCCCCCCCCCCCCCCGGCCGCTCGCGTTGCATGAAGTATTTCGGTGACTGCGGGGCCAAGAATGTTTTCAATTTTCAGTGTCAAAGACAGTATTAGAATTCAGATATTTACACACTTCATTTGCATGCAACATTCTTCACCGTTTCTGATTCTCTCGACATCTGGCGGACGAATGTGAAGCATTGATTTCTCTCATTCTCTCAATATATCAATATCTTCCTCTGTCTGTGTCTGTCTGTGTCTGTATCTGTCTGTATCTCTTCTCTCTCTCTCTCTCTCTCTCTCTCTCTTCTCTTTTTCTCACTTTCTCTTTCTTCTATTTCTCTATTTCTCTCACTCTCACTCTCTATCTCTCTCTATCTACCTCTCTCTCTCTATCTACCTCTCTCTCTCTCTCTCTCTCTCTCTCTCTCTCTCTCTCTCTCTCTCTCTCTCTCTTATCTCCTTCTTTATCACCGGAATTGTGCTTTACCAAAATACGAATTATGGTCTTTGTTTAACCTTATCCGTGACCTTTATATTCTTATGCCTATTCTTATTCTTCTTGGAATCTCAATTGACGCGAAGAGAAGTAGAGATAGAGAGGGGAGGCGATGGGAGTGAGTGAAAGAGAAAGAGAGAGAGAGAGAGAGAAGTGAGTGAATGAGAGAGAAGGCGAGAGAGAGAGAGAGAGAGAGAATATAGGGGAGAGAGCGAAAGGGGAGGTGATGGAAGGGAGTGAGAGAGAGAGAGGGGGGGGGGAGTAAGTGGAAGAGAGAGATAGCAAGAGAGAGAGAGGGGGGGGAGGCGATGGAAGTGAATGAAGGAGAGAGAGAGAGAGAGAGAAAGGGGAGGTGATGGAAGGGAGTAAGAGAGAGAGAAAGAGAGGGGGGGGAGGGAGTGAAAGAGAGAGATGGGAGGGAATGAAAGAGATTTTATTTGATAAATTTATTACTTGAAAGAGAGAAAGAGAAAAAAAGAGAGAATAAGAGAGAGAGAGTGAGAGGGAGAGTTCACCGTCGGCCTCGCACACAATTTTCTTTCGATCAGTGTTCGTGTGCAAGCATACGACGCTTGTATTTTTACCTTCCCTTTATTCTGATGCTCGTGCATGTGTTTCTCATTATTAATTCTATTTTTATCATTTTCTTCTTCTCCTTCCATAACCATTATCATCATTGTTGTTGCAATCATCTTTCCAGTTATTATTATTTTCAAATTCTCATTATCTCGTTCCTCTCTTCTTCGTCTTTCACAATCATTATCATCATGTTGCTGCCACGGTCGTGCATGTTATT